TCCCTGCTCGGCGGGGAGTCTGCTTCTCCCTCTGACCCTCCCCCCTCTCATGTGCTCTCTCTCATTCTCTCTCTCAAATAAATAAATAAAGTCTTTAAAAAAAAAAAAAAAGATTCACGACTCCTTTGTGTAGTCTTTATTGGTTTATTAGTATAAAAAAACCCTCTTGTAGCATATAATGCTTTTTTTAAAATACAATTTTGCCCCATCTGCTTTCTTTTTATTTGCATCTATTTGGTGGATTTCACTGTCCCTTTGTCCTTAACTAATACATGTCATTTTGTTTTAGGTATTTTTCTTACAGGATTTTTAGTTTTTACCCAGTGTTAGGGTTTGCCTTTCCTGGGAATTTTTCTCTTATTATAATTGTGTTTAACTTATTTCTATCACCTTATTTTGTGCTTTCATCTCCCTTTTTTTTCCTTTTTTGCTATATTTAATATTTTCTTTCATTTTTCTCCCTTTCCTTATATGGTAAACTTACTATTTTTATCCTAACGGGAAACATGTAAATTAAAAATGTACATGTTTAAACCTATCTTTCAATGTTAACGGAGCCTCTGTGAAAGAGAAAAAGAAGCCAAAACAGAATTCTACTACTTTTTTATTACCTTCTTTGCCAGGTATATTGAAATTATCTGAAATTTTGTAGATCCAGAATGTTTTTACATTGTGAAATTTCTTTTTTAACAATAGAAATGTGGCACTCAATTTCATAGCCACATAAATAATAGTTCCTTAGTTACACCCTTAGTTATACTTAACTCTATTCTCCTGGTTGATCACTGACCACTGTTTTCTCATTTCCACATCTTCCCGTTTCTTAATTTTTCAGTTGGTTGAAATATATTTTAGAGATTTTTTTCAGAAAGGGCATGTGGGTGGTGTAATTTGAGTGATTGCTTGTCTAAAAATGTCTTCCTTTTGCTCTGTAATATAAAAGGTAGTTTCTGTTGTAGAGAAGTATTATATGGTTCTGATCTTTTTTTTTTTTTAATAAGTAATTCATGTGATTTCCCTGCTGTTAGATTTTTGTTTTGTTTTTTTGAATTGTTGGTATTTTGGTAGGATAGGTCCAGTTTTGGGTTCTTGTGTGTGCATGTGTGTGTGTGTATGTGTTTATGAAAGCTGTATATATAAATATATATGAAATCTTTTCTGGTACTCTGAATTTTTCTGGTTCAAAGTCTCACATCTCAGAAATTTTCTTTAATTTTTTTCTTTTGTTTTAGCTTTTCTATCCGATCAATTCCTTCCTACTATAGCTTCTAGTTTTAAACTTTGTCCTTAAATACTTAGAGCTACTACATGGTTCTATTAGTGATTCTCAGTGATGATGAAATTTGATGAGAAGGAGACACACGCCTTATGAGTAATGGTCTTCCTCTGCTCATCTCTTTGCTGGGGGTGGCATTTCCCGTCTCTGTATTGGACTTTTGTCTCATGAGAAGGAACATCATTTCCTTAGGTAGCTTTGTCTGAACTACAGATACTGTGGAGTTGTGGATCATTTTAGCTCTTGTTTGGAAAGTTGTTTGTGATACAAAATTATATTAATTACTGTGAGGTGGAACACAAGTGACATTACACTTGATACATCTTTCCAGAGGAAAGAAAGGAAAGGCAAAAAACACTCTAGCATGATACAACAGTGTACATTGGATCTCCTCCTCCTATCCTGTATGTCTTCATTTCTGTCCTAATTTTCTGGGTTGTTTTTTTTTTTTTCCTCTTAGTTTAAGGAAAATTTCTTGAGCTGATGTTCTGTATGACATTCACTAATTAGGTTTACTGCAGTGTACAATCTGCTAATTACTGTCTTCATAGGGTGCTTTGTTTTGGCAATTGCATTTTTTTCTCCTTTAAGAATGTTCTTTTCATATTATTCCTGTTTTTATGACAGCCTGTTCTTATCAATGTGGCAGTCTCTTGAATCTCATTGAGATTTTTCTGTTTTCTTTTGTTTCTGGCAACAGCTCTGTCTCTTAAGGGCCTGCTTGTCCTGAGCAGATGCATTGGTTTTCTCCCTTTGAATTGCTGAATATTGCTATATCCAGTCATTGTTCCTCTCTTTGCTTATATGTTTGAAGGGATGTTTGCATTTGTTCTGTAGCTGAGATGGGTTCTTGCAGAAATTGTGTAGGCCCTGAACAGAGTTTTGTTTCAGAACAGTTTCCCTTTGGTAGCCCAAGGGCCGCTGATGGAATAGCTCCCACCCAGTCAACCTAGTACATCTGTGCACAGCACCTCACTCCCTTCATGGGGCTTCCATACAGTCTCGTAACTGTGCTGCACCCCAAGGGCTCTCTACTCTCTCTGGTGACACCATCAGAGACTCCAGTGGATTTAGATTTGTCCCCCTGCCTCTACTTCCAACTCTTAACCGGGGGTCATTGTGAGACTGCTGTGTGTTTGCGGGTTGGAGAATTGGAAGGAGGGAAAACATCTTGTGATCCATTCTGCTCTACCTGCATTGCTCCCCGTGAAGTCTTTCAAAGGGCTGGGATCCTTCTTTGGAATCTGTGGTTGATACTTAGCCAAACTGGACCACTTGTGGTTGTCTAACCTAGTTCGCCCTCCGTCTTCCTCTCCACCCCATATGTGCTCTTAGTCCCCATTTCTATCTGTGGAAATTCTATGTATCATTTACTTCCCAGCTTGTCTTTATATGGAGAAGCATTAGAATGAAGTTACAGGAAGCCAGGTTTGAGTCCCTGTTCTGCATTTACTCATCTTGAAACCTTGGACAAGTAAGTTACTTAACCTTTATGAGTGGATTTGCCCCTCAGGAAAATGAGCATGCAGTAGTGCCCTCTTCATGAAGCTGTTTTGAAGATTAAATGACATAACAGCACAGTGAACACTGAAAATAAAACCCCTTACAGCGTCAAGCCTATGTGGCGCCTCATCCGTGTAGGCCTTCAGTTAATGGAGAGCGAATGGATTCACTTTTGTGCTGAGTCAGTGGCAGAGCCCAGGAAAGAGTCCAGGGCTTCTGAGTATCTCACACATGTTCCCACCTGCACACGCTGAGTAAGTGGGTCTTCAAATACATTTCATAAAGTCTCCAGAATGGAGGAGGAAGGTTTTGTTTGTTTGTTTTCATCCCTTCTTTGAGAGAATTCTATTTGGTTGGTTAGTTGGATTTTCAAATAATCCGTTGCTTTCTTGTCTGGGTTGAAGTTTTGTAAAGAAATAGCCACAGATGAAAGTTCAAAAGAGAGGCAACATAGTGTTAAAATGGGAAGATTTGATTCCAAGTAGTCTTAGATGGTTGTTGGTTAACTCCTCATCAGACAGACTCCACAAACCAGTCAGTGAATGTGCTGATTGTATGTGTGGTTCTTCCTCTGCGCTTCTCTGGTGTGTTGAAGGTGGCGTGTCCTCTCCCTCTCAAAATCTCATTTTATCAGGTAGGAAAATCTCTTCCTTGATTATATAGCTTTGACTAAACTGGGGGATATGATTATATCTCTTTAGTAGAAGGAAACTTTTGTAATTGCTTCCCTCATTGATTATTAAACCATGGTGTTGGGGAGTAAACACCATGGGGTAAATATACCTTCTTGGAAATGCTCCTCTTTGTAATTTCCCTGTAGGCCTTCACTGCCCAAAGTCTTGGAAACTTGCTGGATATGATGTACCAGGAACCAGCACGATGGTCCTACACATTCCAGACATTATCTTTTATGAGCCGCCTGAAAGTACAGCTGGAGCCCTTCCCTGAGAAACTGTTACAGGCCGAGAACGCAGTACAGATCTTTGAGAGGTCCGTGTACAGTGACAGGTAAGACCCTGAGCCCTTCACTGGCCACAAGCCCCATGCTCAGTGCTGCATGTTTTCCCTTCTTGCTCCGCTGTGGTTATTTACTTATTTTTTTTTTTAAGATTTTTATTTGAGAGAGAGCGTGAGAGTGGGGGAGGGTCAGAGAGAGAAGCAGACTTCCCGCTGAGCAGGGAGCCGGAAGCGGGACTCGATCCCGGGACTCCAGGATCATGACCTGAGCCGAAGGCAGTTGCTTAACCGACTGAGCCACCCAGGTGCCCTCAGCTGTGGTTATTGATAGTTGTACTTTTTCATCATCCATTTACTTCTGAAGATGCTAAGCTGGTCACCCATTTACTTTCAAATTAGACAACCTAGTTCTACTTCTTAGTGTTCCCATAAAACCTCCTGGAGGGAAAAAAGAAGGGTACACTTGTAAGTGTCATGTGATTTTTTTTAACATTATCTCAAAACCATGCAAGATACGTAGAACAAATCCTATAGGCTACACATTCCTTCTCTACCCCAAGAGACAGTTTACTCTTTATAAAAGCTAAATATGTGAATTACAAGTGGTTGAGCTGTAGATTTTGGTTCTTTTACAGTTGTTGGGTATACTACTGCATATTTTTCTCTCCGCTTTCCCTGGCCATGCCTCCTGGACTAGGAAGATGAATTACATATGACTGTCCTGGTTACTTGGAAATATAATCACCATGGGTTTTTGATTTCCAGCCCTTTAGTGAATTAGGCATGTGAGAGACCCCTCAGAAAAAGAAACACTTTGTTTAGAAGCTACAAGATCTTAACATTTTCTTGTAAAGGAAGATATGAGAATTGATTTTGCTATAGGCAGCTACACATTCTAGATGTTTTCTTCAGAGGGGGCATTTTAGAGATAGAAAGGATAATTCATTATACATTCTAATCGTGATGGTAATTTAGACCCTTTCCCTTTTTTTTTTTTTAATCTTGAGTTTTATTAAGAATTTAAAAATCTAAACATTTTATAGAGGCCTGGGAAGCCTACCTAGAAACACCGCCCTCAGGCATTTCCAACTTCCACATGTCCGTATACCTCATTGCGCACCGCCCCCCACCCCCCATGACAGACAACGTGGCAGCACAGTGAATGTCGCTGTGTTTTTACTATTTGTAGAAAACTGACATTTAGGTTTCAAAATTAATAATATTACAAAATTACCAGCAGCAGTCTTAAGCCTTTCGACAATGCTTATGAACTCCACTTTGCTGACCCAAACAAGGCTATTATTCCAAGTTCAAAAAGCAGGACTTGTCCCAAGGAGGCGTATTATACATCCTGCAGATACTCAGGCCACATTGCTCAGGACCCATTTGTGACCGTGTCTTCTTCCATCTCCTCTTCACCATCATCAGTGGGGCCTGGTCTGCGCTCCCTGCCAGGTATCTGGCCAGACTGCAGCAAGCCCTTCAGCCGCTCCACTTCAGCCAGGGTGGATGCATTTGCTATAGCATTCTTGATTGCTTCTACATCCCCTGGAGACGGCCCACCTTTCTTTTTGTCAGTTGGCAAACCAGCACCTGGGTTGAAAGTTTTGCTGCTCCTGGCAATATCCTTTGCAAGCTGTGCACCCCGTTTGCCCTTGAACATTTTCTCTGCTTCCTGACGCTCTTTTAGTTTCACCTTCTGGAAATCCAGTACTCTGACTTGCGGAACTTTATAAATTACGTACAGTCTGTAATGCTTCTTATTTGTTACAGGATTTCTCAGAATACTTAGGTAAGTCAGTGATTTGAGAGATGCCAGAGGGTCCAGATCACCCAGTTCCACAAGACTGTTGTTGGTGAGAATGAGTTCTGTCAGACAGGGTAGAGCCTGATCGAGCCCCTCACCTATACGGCATATTCTATTGTTATTCACTAATAATGTTTTCAGTCTTCTCAACAAAGGAAAACCATCCAGTTTCCTGATTTCATTGTCAGAAAAATCAATAGCATCAAACTGGTCTAAGGTAGCACCTAGATTTTCAATGACGGGAATTTTATACCCCCGGAGGTCCAGCTCGCGGTCCCGCACGGCGTTGGTGTACTGAGCCGCCTGCTCGATCAACTCTGCCGTCAGTTTCACCATCCTGCCGCCTCCCGCTGCTGGTGCCACGGCCCGCCGGCTGTTCCCGCCGCCTCCCGCCCGCCAGACTTCCGACCCTTTCCCTTCTTTAAAACATTCATTCATTCATTCCTTTGTTCAGCACAGATTTGTTAAATCCCCATATGTTCAGGTACCGGGCTAGACCCTGGGGCTGCAGCAGTGAGGAAGGCAGACCCAGTTCCTGCTTTCAGGTCAACCCTAGTGTAACGGGGACTGTGAGACCGCACACGTGCTCATATGTGTGTGATGTGTGTCCCAAAGGAGGAACACAAGTTGTTTGGGAGAGTGGATGACTAGGAGGAAGAAATCTAAATCTTTTCTGGTGGAGTTAAAAGCAACAATAGTATGTGGTTTTAGAACAGGAGCCCTGATGCCTGGGTCCGTAAGCTCATTCTCCGTGGCACCAGCACGCAGACTGTGGTTGTTCCCTCCCCATAGTCCTCTGCACCCCAGCTTTCTCCCACCCCGTCACCACCAGCTGTGGGGAAATAAGTGCTCATCCTCAAGAAAGGGGAGGGCCCCTCTTAAAGGGCTTCTTAACAGATCCGTCATTTTTCTTTATAAGATTTTAATTTCTTTTTTTTTTTAAGATTTTATTTATTTATTTGACAGAGAG